TTATTCTCTCTCAGTTCTGGAGGCTACAAGTCTGAAATCAAGGTGCCAGCAGGGTCATGCTCTCTCTGAAGGCTCTAGGGAATAATCCTTCATTGCCTCTTCCAGCTTCAGCTGGCTGTTGGCAATCGTTGGCGATCCTTGGCTTGTAGACTCCAGTCTCTGCTTCCATCGTCACATGGTGTTCTCAGTGTGTGTGTGTGTGTGTGTGTGTGTCCAAATATCCCTTTTCTTATAAGGACACTAGTCATTGAATTAGTCACACCAACAGAGTATGAGCTCACCTTAATTTTTATTACATCTGCAAAGACCTTTATTTCCAAATAGGATTACATTTACAGGCTAGACATCAAGTTTTGGGGGATGCTACTCAACCCAGTACATCATCCAAAATGCTCTCTATAGCCTATTTGTTTGTCTCTCTCCCCCTGTGAGTTCTATGAGGTTAGGGATTGTTGTCAACTTTATTCATTGCTATATTCTTAGTGTCTAGAACAGTGCTTGACACATCATAGACACTCAGTAAATATTTTGTGAATGAATCTTTGTGCCCATCTGCCCCTACCCCAGGGACTCTGAATGAGAGAAGCAGGGATAAGGCAGAATGCAAGCATTGCCTAAAACATAATAAATGCTCATTAAATGTTCACTGGATGAATAGCAGTTTGGTGGATATATGAATTTAACACTTATGGAACACCAATATACAAGGTATGAGGAAAAGTATAAAGAAGTGAGAAGGAAACATCTGAGCATCCTGGCTATGCCTCTGTGTGACCTTGGGCAAGTCATTCAACCTCTGGGTTTTACTTTCTCATCTGTAAGATGGATGTAATAACATTAACTATCTCATTGGATTGTCATGAGGATTATGTGAGTTTGTACACGTAAAGAGCTTAGCACAGTGCCTGTCACATGGTGAGCACTATAGCTATGTTAGTTATTATTGTGGTTGCTGTGAGGTGCTAGACTCTGTCTGTGCACGCTGTTTTAAAAACAGCTTTATCCAGATATAATTCACATACCATAAAATTCTCCCTTTAAAAATGTATAACTCAGTGGTTTTTTATTGTTGATAGTATTACAATGTCCCCCATTTTCCCCTTTTGCCCCCTTCACCTAGCCCCTGCCCCCTCCCCCCCCAGGCCTACCACACTACTGTCTGTGTCTATGGGTTATACCTATATGCATATAAGTTCTTTAGTTAATCTCTCCCCCTATCCCCGGCCCCTTTCCCTCTGGGATCTGTCAGTCTGTTCCATGCTCCATGCCTCTGGACCTATTTTGTTCGTCAGTTTATTGTGTTCATTAGATTCCACATATGAGTGAGATCATGTGATCTTCCAACTCAGTGGTTTTGAATTAATGGAGCTGTACAACCATCACCACAATCTCATTTTAGAACATTTTCCTTCTCCCTTTAAAACACCATCCTATTAGCAGCCACTCCCCTTTCCCCAACCCATGCCCCAGCCCCTGGAAGTCACTACTTAGCTTTTTGTCTCTATGGATTTGCCTATTCTGGAATTTTATATAAAGGGAATCATACAGTCTGTGTCCTTTTGGGTCTCTTTTTGCATAAGGTTTTCAAGGTTCATCCATGTTTTAGTACTCATCAGTTCTTCACTCCTTTTTATGGCTGAATAATGTTCCACCGTGTGGATGTGCCACATTTTGTTTAGCTGTTCATTAATAGATGAACATTTGATTTTTTCCACGTTTTGACTATTATGAATAATGCTGCTATGAACATTCATGTACAAGTTTTTGTGTGGACATGTTTTCATTTCTCTTGGGTATATACCTAGGAGTGGAATTCCTAGGCCGTATGGTAACTTTGTGTTTAACATTCTGAGACACTTAAAATTGTTTTCCAAATTGACCACACCATTTTACATTCCCACCAGCAAAGAATGAGGGTTCCAATTTCTTCACATGCTCGCCAATACTTCTCCTTGTCTGTCCTTTTTATTTTAGCTATCATAGTGGGTGTGAAGTGATATCTCAGTGTGTGTGTGTTTTAAGAAACTGAGGTTTATTTCTCAACAACCTTATTTTCATTTTCTGTTTAAGAGCCTTTGGAAGAACAGCTTAAGACCACCCAGTGGTTGTTCCTACCCATTCAGTGATCTTAGGTTGAGTAGCAGTAGATTTGGGAGCTGGAGGAGTCCAATCACCCTGAAACTCCTCCTTGGTCACAACCTTTCCAGCAGCAACATGCTCTTCCTTTTCAATCTCTTCAGGGCCTCTGTAGAAGTAGAGATCAGGCATGACCTCCCATGGGTGTTCATGGGAGATAGTCCGGCACATGAGCAGAACTTCCCGGGCCCACATCCACCACATCAGACCCACTGAGTGATCCCCTTGTTGCATAGGATGGCAACATCCACATGGCACAGAGGAGTCTGTGGGACAGAGCAACGGTGGGCAGGTTCACATAAGACGCCTCTGTGAGAGGCTGGTGGTCACCTGGGATAAGTAACCGCCGGAAGTCTCAGCTCCTAGAAGGCTGCCTGGATCTGGTTAGTGAAGGTTCCAGAAGTAAAGCAGCCAGCAATAGGAGTGGCCCTGGTGGCAGCACAGCTCGCTGGCTGGTATTCCTGGACAATACAATACTGACATCAGCAGGGTTTTCAGTGGCAACAAGGGCATGAGCCACCAGCAAAAGCTTCTCACAGGTTCTCTTCAGATTTCTGATGCAGATGCCATCACTTTTCCATTTGGAAGTCAAGGTTGGTGCCACCTAAGTGGGTTCCTGCTGCAAGGAATTTAAGGACATCCTCCTCCGTTTGCAGGACATCAGAGGCTCCGGACATTGTGAAAGTTCCCCTTTCAGTTACAACAGGACCCCAGAAAAACACCTCATGGGTAGCAAGGAAAGCTCATTGTGATTTTGATCTGCATGTCCCTGATGGCTAATGGTGTTGAGCATCTTTTCACGTGCTTATTGACCGTTTGAACACCTTCTTTGGAGAAATGTGTATTCAAATCTTTTGCCCATTTTTTAAAAAGTGGGTTGTTTTTTGTCGTTGACCTGTAAGAGTTCTTTACATAATCTGGACACAAAGCCCTTATCAGATATGTCACTTGCACATATTTTCTCCCATTCTGTGGGTTGTCTTCTCCTTGCCAAATGTTTCTGCGTGATTTTTTCCAAGCCCACCCCCGTGAGGTAGGTGTTATTGATAGGGAAATGAAAGTTCAGAGAGAAGATGGAATTTAAATCCAGGTTTTTTTCTGACTGTAAAATTCATGCTTTCTCCTCTACCCCAACCTGCTCACAAAGATGAATGAAGACATGTTTCTGGCTTTGAGGAGTTCAGTCTGGCAGAGGATATAAAACAAGAACACAGCCCTGGCAGGTGTGGCTAAGTGTTTGAGAACCCTCCCGTGCACCAGGAGGTCACAGGTTCCATTCCAGTCAGGGCACATGCCCTGGTTGTGGGCTCCATTCCCGGGGGAGGCGTGCAGGAGGCAGCTGATGGATATTTCTCTCTTTCATCGATGTTTCTCTCTCTCCCTCTCCTTTCCTCTTTCTCTGAAACCAATAAAAACATATATTAAAAAAACAAACAAGAACACAAACGAATGTACTATAAAGCAGAGTTCCACTTGTCCCACCAATGCCACAAGAGAAGTGCAGTGGGAGGTCAAGAGGCGAGAAAGGGTAAGCACTTCTGGCTTGGGAAATCAGGGTTGGCTTCAGTAAGGTGGCGTTTAAGTCTTGAAAGATGGGTACAATTCCATTGGAAGGAGATGACGGGCTGAATGGAGGAGAGCATTTCCAAAGAAGAGCAGAAAATGAGGGTCGAAGGAACATACGGAGCTTTGATCCTAAGTCTGTCTGCGACGGTGAGTCCCAGGGCTTGTTGAGATAGGAGATCCTGGGACAACCTTGGTGGCACCCAGGCACTAGCTAAGATGGGGGTTATCTGACACTTGAGATTGGAAGACCCAAAGGGGATGGGGAGTCCGTGGGCTGCGTGGACCTGGCAGCTGCCTGGGATGGGGGTTCTTGGGGTGTCTTAGATGAGGATCTTGGGCCTGGCGGACCCGGGGCACATTGGAACGGACTGAGGTGGAGGGCTTGATTAGGTTGCGTTAGGTGAGGACACTGGGACCGGTGGAAGGGAGCGATTTCAGGCAGCCTGTGTGAGGCT